TTCGTTACTAAATACGGAATTTTTCCTCCTTTTTAAGGGATTCCCTAGATAAAATATACGACTGTGATGCTCCAAGACTTCTTCTCCACAATTATACGCTTTTCGTGCATAGGCTTAGCCTTCTGAAGTTGCCAATATAAAACGAAAATGGAATGGCAAACCCTACGAGATGGTAGAACAAGGTCTCATTTAAAATTCCAAAACGAGAAAAGTAAGAATCTCTACGAAACGGAGAAGAGATTTCCGAAATAAGTAACGAAAATACGTGCGGTAACGCGTTTTTTTTTCTAGAAAATAAGCGCACTTTCACAATCAACGAAATTTGAGCTCAAACGATCACTGAAAACCTAGCGAAGAATTTCGGCCCGGCAAGAAAGACTTCTACAAAAAATTTCCAATAACAGAAAAGAACTTGTAACCCTCTCGAGACCTGGACCTAACCCTTCGTGTACCTAACTCCAGCGTACTGCGTCCAACAATGACACGCTGGGGCTGACGCAACACGCTGATCGTTGGAGACACAGAGGGTTGGGTCCATGGTCCCGAAAGAGCTAATCAAACGAAAATCAAATCAATCCTAATAACGGAAAGGAATTCGTAAAATACCGACAGTACATAAATATGGTGATTTTGGATTAATTATTGGTCAGAAAGAAATCACCAAGGACCTCGCATTCGCACAGATACGGTCCAAAATCAACTCGGATAGCAGCACAACATGAAAAATACACAGAAAAATTACTACAGAGCAGCAGTGCGCTCCGTAGATCACTGCGCACTCAGAAAGTTCTTCACAAATTAACTGTTCACAAAACGCTAGCTTTCTCTTTTTGAGCCGAACACGAGGTATTTACATCACATTTCATTTAGATACCTGACCTTTCGGCGATTTCGTTCATCAGAGCCTGAAAAGAACCGCCCAAACCTCAGCTTTTTGAATAAACTGTATTACTAAAATCCTCGTGTTCGGCTCAAAATGAAAAAAACAAGGAATTATTGGAGAATGGCGAGGTGAGTAGATAATCGGTCTCGGAAATTGATGGCACAATAGTCCACATATTCTTCTTGTTAAGCTTAACCCTTTCGGGATCACGGACACACGGCCTCTGCATCTCTAACTGGCCACATTAGACGGTCTGCTCCACATCCTCCGTATTCCTAACCCCCCAGCGTGCTATTGTTGGACGCAACAGCCTGTAATTTCTCGACGAAGCATGCTGGAGGTTACAAATGCGAGGAGGTGGAGCAGACCGTCCAGAATTTCCAGTAAGAGATGCAGAGGCCGTGGCTCCACGGTCCTGAAAGGATTAAACACGAGATTACAATAAGAATATTGATTTGACAGTTGACGTTTCGACCGATTTCGTCTTCCCTAGGCCTGGATAAGTCAGGATGTCCAGAACCTTATAAGCCAAACACCTCTATTACTTTAATAGAAAAACTTATCGAATTAAAATTTCAGTCCTCTCAAGAACAATGCCGATGTCGATAAATTGTCGGACCTGGAAACGGAACAACACTTCAATCGATGTAACGAAACCGTTCACTGAGAATCTAGAACTTCGAAGTACTGACTCTCCAAATGAATCCGGATTTACTGAGCGAAACTTTCAACCCGAACAGAAGTTGAAACCACGCTCACCCATCCCGGAAGTGTAAAAATAGTACGCACTCCCGGTACGGGTGAAACGCAAGTTTAACTCCCGTTCAAGGTCAAAAGTTTTGTATGTCACTCATCATCCTTGCATATAAAAGTGGAGCATCATAGCATCGCTAAAAGACATTGAAGTTAGAGAAATCTCGTAGATAAAAAAAAAAAAACAGTGCAGTCTAACAAGGTTCCGCAGGAAAACAAAGTCAACCTAATGGCTGCCTAAAGGTTAGTTCCCCCCCCCCCCCCTCCCCCCAAGGAAATAATTGTCAGCTGAGTAGTGAGCAAAGATGTGCATCGAAAGCCATCTTTTAGTAGTGGAGCATGGAACCTAGGTCCCAAGTATTATTTAACTCTTTGAAGACCAGCGTGGACAGGCAGGCGACATCGCGCCGTCGCTCGCGCAGCAGTCAAGCAGGCGGCATCCAAGTGTCTGTGAATGCATGTCTGGCTGTCTACGTGCCTTCCCAATAGACGTGACGCCGCCATCACAGTAGCTGAGCGAGGTTTTGACGTCGTGCGCTGAGCATCAAAAAGACCCTCATGGTCCCAAAGGATTACAAATTCAGCTGAAGATACACCTTTCTCAGAGATAACCCCGTCAAAATATCTGTTTCTACTATAAAAACAGTCAAATGTCACCAATCTTGAAGCGAACAGGCCTCATTGGACGGCTCTGATGAGCACAAAAGGGATAAATAAAGACTTGATGAGAGCTCAGTTCTTGAGCAATTCATCGGTGAAGCTTAGTGATCACTGTTCCTGAAAGACGTAGTCATGGCTCAACTTGATAGCGCGGAAAACCTGGGTTCCAAATTTCATTCGTATTTCAGCATTAAATAGGGATTATAAATAAACTCTAGTAAATAAATAGTCTAATAAAATCAGAGTATAGCAAATAAATGTAGATAAGTCCAAAAAAGAATGCTTTAAGCCAAAACAAGATTGGTACGCCAGGGCCATACACCGGTGTTTCGGAGGTTTCTTCCTCCTCGTCAGTGACCCACGCCCCACATTAAGCTCTGCATTGTGGTAAGGAGGGCGTATGTGGTGATGGCATAGTGACGATGACACTGATCCATCAGCACTTTTCAGTAGATGGATTTCGGCTGTTAAATCAATTTGACCCATGAGATCGACTTTTTTTAAATCTCGCAATAAACATTCAAAATAGTTCAAAAAAGAATGTCTAAAGCCTAGACGAGGTTGGTACGCCAGGGCCATACTCTGGTGTTTCAGAGGTTTCGGCCTCCTCGTTAGTGACCCCCGCCCCACTTAGGCTTTAGACATTCTTTTTTGGAATTATTTTCAATGTTTATTGCGAGGTTTTAGAAACAGTCGATTAGTAAAAATTCTAACAAAATAATGTTAGAGTGAGAATGAGATGGAAATTAGACTGCCTTCTAGATTCAAAAGGACCAGAAACTTGGGATGATAGACATACTTGACTAAAGCGACTCATCAAACGAATTTGAAAGGGGGAATAACTTTTCTGAGATTTTCCATTTAGAAGAGGTCGCTATCAAAGACTTTTCAATGGCTGTGGAGAATCTCCAAAACAACAAACATATCCGAGGATGCTAAGTGACACACAAGCTTTTGACCTCAGGCGGGAGTCGAACCCGCAGAGCGCATGCTACCAGTACACCTACGCGGCCACCACTCTGCTTTCGCGTATTCTTTTATAAATAGAAATTCCTGTACAACAGTAAACAACACACCTTATATTCTCCGTCCTCAACGGTCTAATTAAGATTAGACGTAGAATCGCGCACTACGCCTCCAACGACGACACTGGCCACGGTTGTGATTGTCAGCAGCTCGGCCAATTCTGGAACACCAGTATCGACCTATCGCATATCGACGGACGCGAAGTGATGATCAGTCTCCGCCTGATGACGAAATACACCTGAACAGTCTCTTGATGGCACGAGTAAATGGTACGTCTGCGTTTTCTCTATGTAGAGGTTGGGTTCCCTCACAAGAGACCAAGAGGCTAAGACGAAAGGCACTGCTCAACTGACGAGGCTGCCAAGGCCGAAACAAGTGTCTTGGCACCGTTGTCATGCAAATCTGAACAGTGGCAGTGCCACCTTATTACCAGATTTCAACGAGAATTTTCTATGATTGAGGTCTTCACCACTTTCGCAATTCGGTTTTCGTATGGATGTCTATAGCGGACAGATTAACGCAATGATTGCTAGGGTTATTTCCTCTTAGCCCGTTGAGGACCAGCGTTGACAGGCAGGCGGCGTCGAGCCGTCGCTTTCTCACGAGGCGCAACGCCGCCATTACAGTAGCTGAGTGGAATTCGACGCCGCGCGGCATGGTACGAAACGCACCGTATGGTTACTCAAAGGGTTAGACGGCTCAGGAGGGAGAAACAACTACTCTTGCTGATCAGAGACTTTCCATGAGAGTGTTAGTAATTATTCGAAAGCTTAAAACTCTGGCTACTCGTAGCCAGGACGCTTTTTTGAGAAGACCCTTTTATACCGTTATAGCATTCAAAATGAACCAAGTTTCACATCGGCCGCGCCTTTTCACTCTTACTTCGCCGGAAGCGAGGAAATCATATGAACGTGTAGAGGAAATCTTGCAGAATCCGTGTTATACGCTTTATCTGAAGTTTCTTCAGAAAATGAGGGAAAATTCCAGATTCAACAACAGAAACTGCACTCTACACACGAGTTAGACCAGCGATCGATCGATCGATCGATCGGGCGCGCCGTGTCAAATCCACGGCCAGCAGACATTCAGCCCACACACTTGCCTACTAACAAATGCGCCGCGCATGTGCAGCTTGCTCTTTTATTTTCCTTGCTACACTACAATGAAACGCTGTTTCCAGGAAATGGGCACACTGTTTGAATCGTTGAAATTTACGCTATCAATCATTACTATTAGTCTGGAGGAAGAGCTCTGACCTGCGAGAACAACGCAAGCCTCAGGAACGCACATGTTTTTTTTTTCGTGCTACACCGTTATAGAGAGGTTTTCTCAACAAACCCCAACGCAGCACAGTAACCATAGACTTAAGCTTTCGGATAAGAAGCAAAAACGCAACGAGAAGTCTTTGTAGATTGAAAAGGTGTGGTTTCTTTACCGCGTGCCGTCTAAGAGAAGAGAACCTCCGATGATGGCAGTGTATCTGAGAGCGAAGCGATAAGCCATGTTCGGATTCGGTCTCCTCCTCCAACACTGCTCTAGTGATAGCTAAAGATTACATAACTATCCAACATTCTCTCACTACCAGTTCTTCGCGATCATTTCCAGAAACTCCGAAAATGAGAAGAAAAGTTTGAAGCACTAATCTTTATCTAGAGAATTGAGTGGTGAGCGAAAACACGGCCTCAGGCGAGAATCGAGCCCGCGTTTCATCCTATCAGGGGACGCGTGCTCTACAACCACACCACCGGGGCACATTTGCCCGACCACTCATTCTTCAACATCTCTTTATCTAGAGCTTCACGACGTTGGTATCTCTTTCCCAATCGACTCGTTTTTCTTCCGGGTCGATGGGTTTCCTCGTTGCTGGTGGCTGACGTTTCGGCAGATACGCCTTCTTTAGACTCGTGCAGTTTAGTCTAGGGTTTTATATCATTTACATGCCGAGGTTTCAAGAAAGTCGGTCTTTCGAGTTGTTACATTTCCAGAAAATTTCCAAGTAATGACATCAAGTAACATACAAACCTCTAAAGCTCTGCGAGTTAACCATGATTCGTCATGTATACTAGTCCATTCGTAACATCGTTAGCGGTAGGTGGATGATATTTAGCCTTTACGATGAGTCGCGGCGATCTACGATGCCTGAAGTCAGTGCTGCTAGCCTCCCAGAAAAGTCCTGGCGATTCGTGGCGACACCGCTGATCAAAGCTAGATGAATAGCCTAAAGGATCAGTCGTCGTGTTCGGGCAGTCCACAGCTAGGTCCATTAATCTTGCGCGCCGCTCCACTAGCTCGGTCCCCTACGCGCCGCTTCACTAGTATCGGTCCCCTATGCGCCGCTCCACTAGCATCGGTCCCCTACGCGTCGCTTCACTAGCATCGGTCCGCTACGCGCCGCTCCGCTAGCATCGGTCCCCTACGCGCCGCTTCACTAGCATCGGTCCCCTACGCGCCGCTCCACTAGCATCGGTCCCCTACGCGCCGTTCCTGCATGACTAGTAAGCGAATTTCTTCCTGAGACAGCTCTATCTCAATGCAAGTATGGGCAAGTTGTATACCAAAATGTTTGCAAGAAAATGGACGATTCAACGACACCAAAATCATTCAATTTTGATCACTCCTGGTTAATAACTTTGCTATTTATTGCTCTAATGCGAAAACTTATAGGAACGACCTAATAACAGCCATTCACTTGGATATATTTTCGTCTCCGGACACCGAACTTCCGCTCAAAATTGGAGTCGCACCAACGTAGCAATAGAAGTAACTGACTTTCTCCTCTTTCGGCCCATCACATTGTAAGATATGGTCGTAAAAATCTATCCTTCTCCACAAATCTCTCCGCGTCCAGACATTCCAGAACAGTGGCCATCATCTGAAAGTATCTCTATCAAGTGGTTTCGAGAGAAAAGGTCATAAATAAGGAGCCAAACGAACGATTTTCGGCTCAAAAAATTGTCTTCGAAGTCGAAAATGAGACAAGAAAGGAGCATCGCTCTTTCAAAGACACACATAAAGTAACGGAATTTTCCTCATTATCAATTATATAAGAGATATAACCTCATAAAAGTATTTAAATAGGCTTTAAAAGTGGGAAAAATACGGAACACTCGTCAGGGGATGGAAGAAAGGTGCCGGAGATTTCCTCAGCGTTATCTGCATAAAACTTAACAGTAGCTAAGAAAATAACGGATAAACGGATAGAGCTAACATGAAGACTTATTTCGTGTATAAACTTTTACTACAGATACTACAAATTACCAGATTAATCAAGCAAAATCTTCGAAAAATTCCATTTCAGATATTCGTGGCATAGCCAACAAGCGTGACCTAATCCGAATATTGTGTGACCTAATCGGAAAATTGCGTGGCAATCACGGTGGTTGGGCTCAATCGGATTCGAATATGGAGATTCTTGTGGTACTGCCAGCTTTCCTCTTGTGCTGTGGTCCCAATAGCTAAGGCAAGCGTCGATGTGGCGCAGTGGTAGTGGTGCGGTGTATGAGGAGGCGAGACGATGGATGATGCGCTACTTTGATCCTGCGTAGACTTTTTGCAATCAGACAGCCGAAACCTACGAGAGGCTCAGCTTGGCCACCCAGAGAGGTTTACTGAAGAATTGTCTCGACCAGCACGGCAACGTCAAAGAAGACGAAATCCTCAATCACAAGCCAGAGGGAACTACAGTTTACGGTGACTGGCCCTATAAGACGCAAATAAAACAAAAAGTAGGTAAACATTATCTCGCGTTGAACTAGATGAGTACGTTCTATCACTTTGGGGACCATGAGGTTCTTTTTGATGCTCACCGCGTCGCGTTAAATCTCACTCATCTACTGTAATGGCGGGGTCGCGTCTCAAGGGAAGGCAGGGAGACAACCAGACATGCATTCACAGACATGCAGATACCGCTCGCCTGGTTGCCGCCCAAGCTACGGCGCGACGCCGCCTGCCTATCAGCGCTGTCCCTCAGAGGGCTAGCCCCTTACCAACTTTCCAATCGACTGTAGTCGAAACCTCACTATAAACATTTAATATAGTGTGTGAAAATGTTCAGAGGCTTTTCGAGGTTGAAACGTAAGTGGCTCACGTATGTTTCGGCGCTATCGCCCGCCTCATCAGAACCACATGCCCCACTAGTTAACCCTACTTTATCGCAGGATTGGGTAGACGTGCCTTCGGTGATAGCACGTGAAGTTGTAGTGACCACCACTTTTCTCAGTTGTTTTTCGCATTGGTAACTATCTATTCAATATCTATATTGTATGACCCATAAATAATGCGAAAAGGTAGCCACCGATAGGAACGAGCTGCGTTATTCTTGCGGAAAACAAAATCTCCGACAAGACTAGTACGTAACTGTATAGATGTCTCTTCTCAGCGCAGGCAATATAATGGTTTTCTTTTGGATAACACTTTGACCCTTGCGCTGCCGTGTGATTTGTGATGAGAATAACTACGCGAAATGAGCATAAGCTAACAGACCAAGTAAGAAGTACATCCTGACGTAATGGGGATCATAGTTCATTTCGTATTATTTTGTATAAATCATGTTCCATTGATATAAAATAGTTCACATAAATATCCGACCACATCAAATATGCTGAATTTCCTCCAAGAACTCGTTTCTCATAACCTTATTATAACCAACACTGCATAGAACAGAGCTACTTGAAGTACTGTAAGCATACGAACATCAATAAATCCAAAACAGCTTAGGTTCTTTTCCGTTAACCGGGGGAACAAATAGCAACGATCTCATTCGCTGGCTGTGATTTTTTCATAGGAGTGTTAGCAATCATTCAAAAGCTTAAATTTCTGGCTAGAGCCACACGTGGCCGGTTTTCAAGAAATTCTTTCATAACGCTGTAAAATGCAAAATAAAATTATGCTTCGCACGCCCACGCGCTTCTTTTTTCTTATCTTGCTGAGGCGCAAATTTTGTATTCATGCGTCAGCGTCATAGTACCACAAAATGCCGTATGATAGGTACAGCTTCATTCGTATAAAGTGGCCATAAACGAAAGTGAACAAATGTGGCACCATACCGCATAACTGACTATTGCAAAGTTTTTTCTCCTCGCTCTGGAGCAACAAATTCCGCTTAGAAGGCCTTCAATTAGCCAAGAACATTCCAAGATGAAGTATCAATAGGAGTGAGAAATATAAAGATTCATGAGCACCAATCGTTTTCACAATCACTTATCCTTGCACAAGTTCTTGATTACCAAAGTTCACTCTCAATTCATATGGTCTTGAGAGTCAGAAAAAAGAAGTTTTTTACAGAGATTTTGCCATCAAATTCAGGTGATCGGATACATAGGAGGCGCCTGATTCCGGCATAGTAAATTCTGCTTGCGCCATGAAAGTTGAATCCAAACTCGCAAGTAAATGCATAATTGGAGCAACGAAGACCCTAGCAAACGTTTGAAAAACTTACTGAATTCAAATCAAGGGAGCAGCTGCCTGACTGTACCACAAGGTCTACTAGTTGATGTAAACGTAAATGCGCTTTATGTAAGCAAATGGGCATTGTTATGGATTATTTCAATACGCATTCCTCAATATGTTTTGTTGCTAATGACGTATTACATACTTTTTCTCTCTTACATTCACTTTAGACTACGGAAAAAATGTCGAACAATCAGAAAATTCGAGCGATCTTCTTATTCGAGTTCATAAAGGTTGTGGAGCAGTTGAGACAACTTGTAACATGGACAACGCCTTTGGCTCAGAATTTGCTAGGAGCATATACTGCAGTGTGACTGAAGAAGTTTCGGAGAGGAAACGTTATCTCTGCACTGTTCTAAAGCAAATGTTCAATCTATAGCATTCGAAAAGGAGAAGTAATCCTTAAGATGTAGCCGAAAAACACAAGCAATGTTCGACAGACTTCGTGGAGGACGAATGCAAAAAGCGCTGATACTTGCACAGTAAATTGTGATGACGGATCATGGAAAAATTGTTCTTATTAACCAAGGTTTCAGTAGGAATAAAGGAAATTTCTCGATAAGAAAATTTTTCTGTTCCACCTGTGTTCTCGCTTTTAGAGTTTTGATTAACCACTTCCTTCTCAAAGGAATCAAACTTATTTTCTTTTCTGAGGAAAGTGAGCAAAGCTTCATATCTTTCTCATTGCCTGGAAATTTACAACAATGCAATCATGACATGCAATACAGAATTTTCCCAAAATCCAGCTTACTCACACGATCGTCATTCTTCACGTAATGATCTTTCGGCTCAAATGTTCCCGTAAATTTCGAGATAGTTTGCAAAATTACAAAATCGCCTTTCTTCTAATGTTACTCTGGTTCTATACTTTCATTGCATTGCAAAAAGAAATGTCATAGCCGTAATTCAAGCGTTTGAAAGAGAATTTGACCTTAGACTTTTAATGTAATGATCTCAACATGTCGAGTTGCTGAGGCAGAAATTTTGTATTCATTGACGTTTTGCACAATTTGTTCAAAAACTTGTACATGCCGCTACAGTCCCATTCGCTGATTAATTTTCATTGTGATAGTAATGGTACGAAAGGATAAGTAGTTAAGAGCGAGACACTCTTTTTTCCTCTAAGAATGTTAAAATTTTGATTGACAATGCCTCCAAGTGACTTCATTTCAAGTGCTGAACATGGCTCATTTTCAATGGTGTGCTGTTCCTGCTATAGCTTAGTTACTGCGATGAAATTCGTCGTTGTGACCATCCTGCTATGCCAAGCGAAGTATTCTTTCCACCATCTATTTTATTTACC